TGGGGGGTGATGACTAGCTGTCTTCCCTCTAGTATTTCACTGGTAAATTAGGGACTGCTAGCGCAGATAGCCCTCATGTAGCTTTGCGCGAAATTCGTAATAATAATAATAATAGTAACCATAACATAGCCAATACGTATAATCACAATGGCGGAGGAGCTATTAAAAATTACCCATGTAGTAGTAACATTCTGTTGCATCATTAGCCGTGTTAAAGTAGATACTAGAGGAATAAATATTGTTGCGTCTCTGGTCGTTTGTTAATTTCCTGATGACTGTGCCAACCTTGGTATCTCTGTGCTGGATTTAACGTAGGATTCGAATTCAAGAGCTCTGGCCATCGCATCTTGTATAGTAGAGGGCTGTGCTTGCTTCACTTGTATCTTAAGTTGTGGACTGTCCAAGGCATCTTCAAACTGATCCTTCAGCAACAGCTTGAGGACATCGGGTGGTGCAGTTGGGTAGGCTTTGTGTGCCATACTTTCCAAGTTCTGTGCCTGCAGGCTCTCCCCTTTAGCACGGACTCTCGTCCTAAACCTAGCCATGTAGACATCTGATTGATTTTGGGTTCCGTACCTGAGTTCTAGAGCCGCTACCAGTGCTCTATAGTTTTGCCTATCATCTGCTGACAACTGTCCAAGTATTTCCAGTGGTTGTCCCTTCAAGCTCGTTGCCAGATATACAGCTTTCTGCTCCTCTGTCCAGCCAACCATTTCTGCCAAATTGTGCTCTATATGCTTCCCATGGTGCCTTCCCATCGAATTCATGTGGCTTCCTTCATACTGGATCACCCCTATTGCTGACACTCATGTCTGGAATGTGAATTCTGACAAGACTGAAGATTTCTGCATTAGGGTTTAGTTACGGGGTCTGGAAGGGGCTTCCCATTGTCTGAGGCTGATTAGGTCCATGGTTAGTATATCCTCCTTGTGTAAAAGACAGTAATTCATCCTTTAATGTATTTAATTCGCTTTGCAATTTACTAATCTTTTCCATTTGTGTGTGCTGGCTTTCTCTCAACTGTTGGAGACTTTCTTCTTGTTTATTTTCTTTCTCCTCCAACCACTGCTGTAGTCTCTCTTCTTGTTCATTTTCTTTC